TCTGTGAGTTCAAAGGTTTCTTCTCTTCCCCAATAACATATTCCATTGTTGGTTTCCAGTATCAGTTTTTGCCATTATTCACTTTTGTGTTATTCACTTGTAGTTCACTGCAACTACATTTAATACCACTTGTATTGTTCCAAACTTAAATCATCTGTCCAGTTCCATGAAGGAATGAATTATATTAAATCTTCCTCAATTAATATCATGTTTTTCCAAGTAGACTAAATTCAGTAAGAATTCTTCATTGCTTCTTAGGATATCTGGCACACTTATCATGGAAATCATTGAAGGAAAACTAGCATCAGTACATGTAAACACTATCACATCATTAAAATGCTGAGAACTACCTTGACAATGTAACATTAATTCTATCTTAATAAAAATTGAACTACTTTGATGTGTTTAGTTTTTTTATTACTGATTTTCAATTCAGTAAAATGAGAAAATAATCACTATCAACTCATTTTTGCAAATTTTAAACTATAATGGTTTCATTTTTTATACCTTACTAACAAAAAAAAAAAAAAAAATGTATTTCACCATCGTATGTAAATGACTAAGCAGGATACAGGCCAGTTAAGTAATTACCAGATGAATAAAACAGGCACTTTCCAAAAGAGCTGCTTCTTTTCAATAAAGCATTGTGAAAGCATGGTTGTCCTTTTCTAGTATTTCAACTTCAGTTAGTCACAGTCCAAGTGACACATTGAGGTGCCACATACATTTATATCATGTCCAGCTGTCCTATTTTCTTCTTTATAGAGCCTCAGAGACTGCCAGAGTGAGGTACCCTTACAGGTATATGTCATCTTAAAGAACAAGCTTTCTGCTAGCACTGCAAGTCACCTAACCTCGACAGCTCTATAGTTCAGCTTCATTCTAAATACAGTGAGTATTTTCCAATTTTACAACTTCTGAATTAAAAATGTGTTACATAAGAGCAATAGATGACCTATTTATCTAGCTTTCCAAGTTGCTGAAGCACAAGAGCCTGAGGCATCTGCTGAGGTATGCACAAGATCTTAAAAGGCCTGCAGAAGCCTTTCCAGTCCCAGGTTTCCTACCCAGATGAATCAAAACCTCCATAACAAGGAAAGCTATTGCTCCTCAATGAGGGCTATTTCCATGCTAAATTTCAAATTTCAAATCTCCTCAGAGAAGCCAATCCCAGGGTCCAAAAACATTGAAGCTTACAAGAGCAGACACAGAATTAACCTCAGCAGGCACAAAAGCATTGAGGGGATACAGGGCAAGAAAGGGACCAGACAGGACTACCCCTCTTCCCAGCAGCCTAGACCACAACTGTGCAGGGATGACTCCCCTCAGGGTCATTGGACTCATACTGCTCGTCCCACCTCACAAGTCACTTGGGTTTGGCAAAGAAAAATTCTGAATAAGACCCAACTCCAGGCACCAATGAAATTGAGGGCGGCAGGAGCAAACATGCAAGCAGCCTCAGAGCTTTTGCAGTAGGGACAGACAGACACTGATGACACTATCAAATAGCTTTCTACAGTTTTCGCTCTGGATAGTCTCTCCCCTTGCTGATTGACTGACTACTCCAACTTCCTCTAGCTCCCTTCCTTACAGCCTCATTTCACCTTCCTTGTCTGCTCCCCTTCTCCCTCTTCAATCCTGCCTTGTCCTTCTACCCTTTTCAGTATTTCCCACTCCCTCATCTTTATCTTCTAATTCCCTCCTAACAAAACCCCAGTCCATTATTATTTTTTTTTAATTGTGGAAGCAGCATGATGTTTACTGCTATCAAACTGCTCACTCTACCTGTATGTTCTATCCTTTTCCCCAACTGTGTCTGTCTTGTCTATTTAGACTGTTAGCTCTTCAAGGCCAGGACTGTCTGTTACTCTGTTTATCCAGTGCACAGCACAAGAGGGTCCATTCTTGGTCAGTAACTAGGCACTATTGTAATAAAAAATACCAGCCAAATGTTCCAGTTGTAGGGCCATTTTGTAAAAAGTCAAGAATTTGAGGGAATGGGAAACATGTATTTTTCACTCTCCGCCTGTTCAAAAAAGGCAGCTAAATCACTTTCCTCTTGAACCTTAAAATAATCCACTTTCTGGCAGAGACCAAGAATAGAAAATTCCAGCCCAAGAAGCGAAAATTTCAGAAAGTTATGAACAACCTAAAGCAGGTTTTAGAATGTAAATCATTGTGCAACATAACTAAACCAGCATTCCACTAGATCACATTTATACACACACTGTGTGCATGTGCGCATGCACAGAGATACATTATTTATCTCACTGAGTTTTAAGTATTAAAATTCAGGAACAATTACATCTTCCTGTTTCTCCTATATACCTGCCCTCCATGAACAAATAGAACACTGGTAGCATATTAGTATATTCACAGTATGCTAATGGAACAGCTATTAAATAATAAATGCCTTATATTGTTATCAGCAGGTGCTTCAACAATTAATCTCTGGCTGTTTAATTTCTAGCTCTGCTAAGCAAAGGCACCGAAACTTATTCAGTCTACTAAAATAGCAAGGAATATCTCATAATTATGATAGAAACATCACAAACAACTTATCCATTGTTGTGGTGAGTACCAGGCTTTGAAAAGAAGTAGTAGAAGCCTGATGTAGATTTCTTTCTGTGGCACTTACTTAAAAGTCACTAACCCTGCAGAGTTCAGAACCTTAAAATTAGTTAGTCCTGGTAAAGTATGTCTCAAGGTGATTGGAATCCATATTTTAAAAAATAATTATTTTTTCCCACTTGGGCAGGCTATCATTTCCTAAAAGTATGAATCAGCTTAAAATTATTGAATTCTATGAAGTTGCAGTAGGTGGAATATTAACATCTGGCTTTTCCATCTGCAAGAGCATCTTGAATATCACAATGCACCAAAAGGTGCCTCAACAACAAAAAATTGCATTTCAAGATTACTCCACTTATTTTAAAATGTCTTTGTAAAGTGTATGGATGTCAGCAACAGCCCTCATACAATGTCTCCTTATATTTTACAAATACACTGTTTAAAAATATGCTATACCAGTTCCATCACCAGTGAGCATTTAAGAATAAAAATAAGAAATATCACTCTTCATGACTTTTTTTGTTTTAAAAATAACTACTCCATGATTATTATAAGGCTGGTCCTGCAAATTGTAGGTATATACTGTATGTTACTGTAAAATAACCACATAGGGGTGTAACAGAGATTGTTACTAGTGCTTTTTTTTTTTTTTTTTTTTTTTTAAATGGGCCTAATTTTCTTGAAGCCTTCCAGTTCTTTTCTCAACTCCTTACCTAGTCAAAACTCCCAGGATCATATTAGAGACAGTTAATGCACACATCATTAACACAATAGACCATTCTGGGCCCTGTGAAGTCATTACAGTCTAATCCGTTCATAGGCTTCTATGCAAGTGCACTAAATGTCACATTTGTTTAAGAAGAAAAAGCTGTTTTTGTCAGTTATCACTTTTCTAAATGACATAACTCCATTTTCTCTCTTTATAATAGACAAACGCACACTATGCATTAATGGCCCACAAGAGTTGGTTTGGTTTTTTAAAAAGTGTTGTTTTTCAGATATAGGCATGCAGAAAAAAAGTGTCCCGAACCATTGTTTTCCTCCCAATGTTATAATATAAAAGTAATTTTTGATTTTTTCCCTGTACAATATTAACTCACTTTTTTCTATTGAATTGAACCCATCTATTAAAATACAAAGCTGTCATTCCTTTGCTAGTCAGCTTTCATTCATTAAAAAGTCAACTATTGATAAAAAAAAGTTACAGTATACCCTTGCCAACCATCACACACTATAGGTAGCACCAAAAATATCTTTCCTCACTTTTAGTGAATGCTCCTATTTGCGAACAGTTCATTAGCTTGATAAAATATATAATATTGGAGTACATGAAATATTATCATGTAATTAAAACTACAAATGCAAACATAAAATAAACTAGGTATTGTGATGCATTATCTTTCTTTAATGTGTGTGTCACTTACCACAGGCACCAGTCCTGCAAACATACATGCATGTGACTTTGCATTTATTTTATGCTGTTCCCACATTTTCAGTTTTCAATATGGCAAAGACTTTTGTGCTGACCATAGCATAGCTGAAGTTGCCAGGGAAGAACCTAGAGGTTTTGGAAGCAGACAGGGAGCATGGGTGTCAGTGTGCTTATCCCACACTCCCAAACTATCTGTTTCAGTTAAAATGATCAACAGTAAAATAGTTCATAGCGGAAAGTGTCAGTATTGTTTTCTTTAGGTTTCAAATTTAACTCACTGAGATAATGGAGCTAGTTCACCTCTCCAGTGTTGCCAGCTCACAATTTTATAGGTCTCATGATAACTGGAGATTTTCTTAAAGCATCAGCTTGTCAATCCACTTTTTTTTTTTTAAATTAAAGCTAAGTTTCTCACCTTCATGGCTGTGGAGAAACATTTGAAAACAGGAAACCCAAAGGCTGTGAACCCAAACAACAAATAAATATAACTCAAAAGTTAATATTTTTTTTAATGTCATCATTTTTGGGGGGCCAACTCATGATTTCTAAATGCTCGGGCTTGACAATATTGCATCTCAGAGCTTGCAGGCCAACTCAGAGCAACAACGTTGGTTTATAATCCTTTGATATTTTCTTTGCACCCATCACCACCAGAAACATTCGGGGTTTTTTGTTGTTGTTGTTGTTTTCTGTTTTTTTTAAAGTAAGCTTAGATTCTTGACCAATTCTGTAACAATGGGAGAATTCTATGGCAAATTCTGTGACCCTGGAATTGCAGGATGCCTGAAATCACAGGATGCCTGAAATCTTAACAGTCATTGTACATACAGGTTTTTTTTTTTCAGCAAACCAGATAACTAACTTAGAGAAACTTAAGTTAGTTATCTGTGAACACATATGATTAACGTTACAACATACTTAACATAATAGCCATAATTATTATTATGTTTCAATAGTTATACTGGCCAATGAAAACATGCAACTTTATCAAACCTACCTGATGCCCGTCTAGTGAACCGGTTTATCACTGGAGCTAAAAGAAAAATAGAAAGACATAATTAGATTTTATTAATGGTTTAAAGACAGAACTTTAAAAAATAACACTTTATAAAAATAGTATTATTTTGTTTAACAATTCTCTGTAGATTTTCAGAGAAACATGCTAGTTGTTCTCTAAATCTAAATATTTGAACACAAAGTCGCAAAAGGTGTTATGATCAGTTATCACTGGCATTTAAAGAAATTAAGATTTAAAAAATCATTTTCACTCTCTTTTTAAGCATTACTATATGCATGTACTTATTGCCATGTCTCATTATGAAATACTTTATATTTGCATCGGTTACTTAAATAACTAGGACTGCAAGAAGCCAACGTCTACAAACGATGCAAACTTGGATGCAAACATTTAATAGAGTGGATTTTATTTTTACAAAATGTATAGATGTAAAGATGCTCTTGCATAAAAAAGGGCCAACCTGAAATGCCACTTGAGGAATCAAAAGTTAAACAGGTGAGTATCTGTTCACATAAGTCAAGAACAATGCCAAAAAAAGCTCAATGTGTAGCTCCAAGGCACCAGTGACCCACAAACTACCTATAAATGTGCCGTATACACACTGAGAAAACAGAGATTCCCAGCTTGTTTCTAACCCTGACAGGCTGCAAGATGTATACAATTTTGACTATTTTCTTGCAGGGGGAGGGGGTTGGCTCCACTTCAATTCCTGCCTAGTGTTACCAGCACACTCAAGTACTGCTAGAGCTAGAAACCAATATTTTATATATTATACCATCAAAATGCATACTAGAATCTGATTTCAAATGATAATAAATTATCTCTAACCCTTGCAGGTTAAGAGATCAATTATTAAAATCTTAATAGAACTGAAAGAGAGACCGAGATGATAATCAGAATGACGTATTTTAAACTGTGGAAGTCACCTATTTTATATAAATATTCCTTCTTATATTATTAGGGTTAACTGTATAAAACCCTCTCAATCATTCTGTATGAACATTAAATGAAGAAAATTTATTGAATTTTTTTCTCCACTTAATTTCACTGGGGCTTATATAGCATTTCTTGAATGTAGACATATGCACACAGAAATAAGAACTGCTTAAGAAATAGGAAAGTCTGAATCCCATAGAGCTGCTAACAGCCTCTCAAACTCTGTTAGGAGAGGGAACAACAGCAGAGTTACACATTCTAGTTCAAATTCACAGATGGTAGTGGAAGATCCTAGTAGCCAGAAGCGTACCAGGAGACTAGACTGCAGTGATGCAAAGGGACCACAATTCCATTACAAGGAAAAGCAGCCTGTCAGGAACCAACCAGCACAGGTGGGGGTGTATACAATATTCATAGTCTCAGAGTCTTCTCTCAGTCATTCCCACTGGCAAATATTAGATCTAGCCCCACCCCAGCAGAAACCTCTGTGGAGGGCAGAGGATGAAATAATGACTACTTTTTGCAGAGGTGAATCTCATCTTGGGTGTAATGGATTTGGCAGGCATCACTGGGCCAGGTTCAGAGCTCCACCTGCCCAATGTAAATTAAATGTTGTGGCTCTCTTTTAAAAAATAATGCAAAAATAGACTTGAAGTTGCGAAATGGTTCCAAGTTATGTCATAGCTAACCTATGAAACCACATGTTTGTGTTTTTCTTACTCTTATCTTCCCTTCCTTCTTCCCTCCTTTTGTTAGTCACACTAACTTGTTATACCTTTTCTCGATTTAGATTGTCCGCTCGTCATGACAAATTATGACTACATGTTTGTACAGCAGCTGGCACAATGGGGTTCTTACCCTGATTGGGGCATCTAGGTGAAATAACAACTCCTCCTCCTCCAGAAATGTTAGGTGACACACGCTTTCCAGAGCAGTACATTTTTCCAAGAGAGGATCCTCCGAGTAGGAGGTGACCTCACACGAATGTATCTCTGAACTCAGTCTTCATTAACATAGGACAACAAATGTGAGCGGGGTGCAATGGCGGGAGAGGGGAGGGGCACTGTTGGAATTATTAATAATATTTAAGGCCCTACTTAATTTGCGATATTGAGGAAATTGCAGTTCCTGCAATATTAGGCTTCTACCAGAATTTTGATGGTGGAAACCCCCCGGCTCTCTGCTCCAGGCAGTTGACAGCGGGAGCCTCCCTGGATCTCAGCCCCAGGCTGTTGCTGTTAACCCTTTTCCAAATTACTGCAAAATAATAACGCCCATTATTACTTTTCCATGGCTTGTCCACAACTCAGCTGCAATTTTTTTGACAATCATCCCGCAATTCAAGTAGGGGCTTAATAATATTGGAAATTAGTAATATTAATATGGGAAATCACCCAACACCAATTTAACCATAAATTACTTTATCAAATCCAAAGGCCAAATGGTACTTCATGCAGTTGCCTCAAAAGCTTAACTAATAAGCAATTTACTACACCCAAACAGTAACAAACCATTTATAAGCATTTGATCAAGATTCTAGCAAACAGACTAAACCAGGGGTGCTTCGACCCATGTTGGTTGGCTCCAGCCCAGTCAGGCAGGTATTAGCAATTAACCCTTTAAGAGCTGACTTCTTATACACTTTAACAAACAAGTGATGTCATTTCCAATTACTGACTTCACCTAAAAATAATATGAGAGAATTCACCCTTATTTCCACTCTTAATCCAGATAAGATTTACAACCTTCTTTCTTTGCAAGATCTTTCCTCTGGATCTCTTCCCCTCCTTTCTAAGGACCAACAGCTTTTTCATTGAACCTGAGTTCAAGGAGGGGATAACACTAGTTGTGGATGGGAAAGGGCTGTATTGGCTCATTTTAAGACAGATACTCTTTGTTTAATTTAAAACCATCTGCAGTTACCCCTATCGGTCAGAAGCCTACTTTTTAGAAACTGCCCCTTACAGTAGAACCTCAGAGTTGCGGACACCTCGGGAATGGAGGTTGTCTGTAACTCTGAAATGTTCATAACTTTGAACAAAGCGCAGTTCAGGCTCCAGATCCAGCAGATAACACTCCAGGCCACGATTCAGCAACAGCTGAGCAACCTAGTCAGCCCCGGCATGAGTTTGCTCCTGTGAGCCAGTGTGTGAGAGAGAGAGAACAGCATGTCCCCCTCCCAGCCAGGGGAGGGGGGCTAAAAACAGCATGTCCCTCTCCCAGCGGAATGGGCGGAAGAGGGTGAAAGCTGCACAGACCCCAGCTCTGCTCCTGCTCTGCTGGCTCCAGCTGCCTTGAGCTGGCAGCCCCAGTGTCTTCCTGTAAGTGGCTGCCCCATAAGTAGGGTTGCCAATCCTCCCGGTTTGGCCGGGAGTAATCAGGCTCAATCTCCTGGAGGCTACTGAAGCCAATTCAGGAGATTTTAGGCCGCTAAAAGTCCAGTGGCGTAGGAGAGTTAAGGCAGGTCCCTACCTGCCCTGGCTCCACGCAGTTCCTGGAAGCTGCAACATGTCCAGCAGCGGCTCCTAGGTGGAAGCGCAGCCAAGGGGTCTCTGCGCACTGCCACTGCCCCGAGCGCTGACTCCGCAGCTCCCACTGGCCGAGAACAGGGAACTGTGGCCCAATGGGAGCTCCGGGGACGGTGCTTGCAGGGAGGGGCAGTGCACAGAGCCGCCTGGCCGCTCGTGAGCCTAGGAACTGCTGCCGGACATGCCACCGCTTGCGGGAGCCACCTAAGGTAAGTGCTGGCTGGAGCCTGCACCCTGAAACCCCTCCCGCATCCCAACCCCCTGCCCCAGCCCTGAGCCCCCTCCCGCACCCAAACTCTCTGCCAGAGCCCTCACCCCAAGCCCCTGTCCCAGGTTGGAACCCCCTCCCGCACCCAAACTCCCTCCCAGAGCCCACACTCCAAGCCCCCACCCAAACACCAACCCTCTGCCCCAGCCCTGAGCTCCCTCCTGCACCCCAAACACCCTCCCACATCCCAACCCCCTGTCCCAGCCTGGTGAAAGTGAGTGAGGATGGGAGAGAGCAAGCGATGGAGGGAAAGGGGCTGGAGTGAGGCCTCTGAGAATGGGCGGGGCGGGGCAGAGCCTTGGGGAAGAGGTGAGGCAAGGATGTTTGGGTTTGTGCCATTAGACAGTTGGCAACCCCACTCACGAGTGGGGGTGGGGTGGGCACAGGCAGCCCAGATGAGCCTACCTTTAAGATGCAATACAGGCACAGTACAGTACTTGCTGCTTCTTTTTTTTAATCTCTGCTGCTGCCTGATTGGCTACTTCCAATTTCACATGGTGTCCGGTTGACCAGTCAGTCTGTAACTCTGGTGTTTGTATCTTTGAGGTTCTACTGTATTTCATTAGTTATTCTTTGGACCAGATATCCTCCCTACTTTATTCCTTTTGGTCCTACAACTCATTATTTTCAAGGCCTTTCTTCTACTTGCTAGTCAGGGTCTTTCTTTACAACACATATACGTTTCCTTAACCAATAAGCTAACTTTAATTCTTTAATTTTATACTTAACCTACAAGCACATTAAAAGGAACTTTTGTTTGTTGGACTTTCTCACCGCAAGGTGAGAACCTGTGGCAAAAGACATTGCTCAACATACTCAGGAGTTTGCAACGGTGTGCTGCTACCAGAGCAGGGACTTTCAAGAACACGCTGGGTGCAGATGATAGACCAGGGATCGGCAACCTTTGGCATACGGCCCAACAAGGAAATCCGCTGGCGGGCTGGGACCGTTTGTTTACCTGCAGCATCTGCAGGTTCGGCTGATCGCAGATCCCACTGGCCGTGGTTTGCTGTTCCAGGCCAATGGGGACAGCGGGAAGCGGCATGGGCCGAGGGATGTGCTGGCCGCCACTTCCCGCAGCCCCCATTGGCCTGGAACGGCAAACCGCAGCCAGTGGGAGCTGCGATCGGCTGAACCTGCGGACACTGCAGGTAAACAAACCGTCCCAGCCCACCCGCAGATTTCCCTGACGGGCCGCATGCCAAAGGTTGCCGATCCCTGCGATAGACCAAATGGGAGCACTTTGCATTGAAAATGTTCTTGACCCAAAGTGAATCTTAGAA